GCGCCCCCCACCCGCCGAGCCGCCGCCCGAGCCCAACTTCTACGACAGCATGAAGAAGATCCGCCTGCGGCAACAGCTGGAGATGTACTCCATCGGTGAGTCAAAGGAAGGAGGGGGCTCCCCTGGGCCTGTGGGTTTCTGGGGACGGCCCCTGCAGGGGTGGCCTCGAGCCTGCCTGTCCTCGTGCACTGTGGGGACACCAGGGTTCCGCAGGAGCGCGGGTCGCGGGATTGAGGCGCGAGGAACGAGGGAGCGGCTGTGCGGTTCTCTTCTAGCTGTCGAAATGAATCTGATGTTGAAGTTAAAAAGAGCTGGGAGTGTCTGAATATTGTCAAGACGTGGATGGATTTGTAAAAGTTGAGAGGACGGTGAAATCACGAGTAATTCAACTTCATAAATTGAAAATAAATGAGAGTTTTACTGTACCAACAAGTGTTGCCACTCCCACCTTAACGCTGAAGGTCAGGTTGGAGGTAGGATAGAGCCCTGTGCCTCTGATACTCCAGAGGTCCAATTCAGAGAAACATCTGTACTTGCTTCACATCTGCCATACATGCACACCTAGAGGGAATACGGGCAAGAACTGCTTCATGAGTTGAAACCCCTTTTTAAATGTAAAGATTTAATGTCAACATTCTTAAACCAGGCCATTGTGTTCTGTAGGAACAACAAAGGATGTGCTTCCTACAGAGAAATGCCTGCTGGCATTCGTTGTTGGTGTTTGTTCTGCTGCACACAACTCTTTGATCTCCCTTTGCCTTGCTAACCAGATTACTTTTGGAGTCAATGTAGTTGTTAGCTTGTGGCATGTATATTGTGGAGGAGATGAGTGATGTGGAGATCAGCGGTGTGACTAATGAGTCGTTCAGGTCATCTGTAATAGTACTTCTGAAGACATAGTCTTTAATTTTTTTTTTTTAAATGAAAGGACCTGAGTGGAATCATAGTTCTCTGCCATTAATTTACTGACATTTTGCTCTGACCCTACTGTTCGGCCTTTCCAAGGCCATACGCTAAAGGACTAGTTCCACCCGGTGACTGAAGCTTCCCCTTGTGTGGCTAAGTGGTGAAATTACATTCTCTCATCTTAAGTCTATTTCTTGATTGTTATCATATTTATATGTATATATATAGATATGCATACATGCACATATATATATATATGCATGCATATAATAAATGGTATAATCGGTGTTGACCGGTGTTTCTTTTTTTCAGCAAGGAAGTATGAACAGCAGCAGCAGCCACCAAAACAGACTGAAAGTGTACAGCTCTCAGTGGAATGAAGCCCACAGTTGTAGGAACTTGGGATATATTTCCAGTGCTGAGGATAAGAGCCAGTGTGGAGCTATTTTCAATGCCTCTTAATTGATACACAGCTGAAGGCCAGGGGAAAAGAAAGGGGACTCTGCTAAAAACTTTGTTCTTGGTAGCTTTTCTCTGAGCCCTGTGAAGTAAACCGAGTGCCTACTGAAACATTCAGCATGAAAGTAGCCAACACAGAGCAGACCTGCTCAGAGAAACCTCTGAGGGTAGGGAAGTGCAGTCTTACCAATGTTTTAAATAATTTCTCTCTCCGCTGGCATCTTGGAAATCAGCTCCTACCTTCTCTGGTGATGGCACCCTAGAGAAAGCGAGGTAGTAACTATCTGCATGGAAACTCTTTTGTTCCTTGATGATGCATTGTTGAATTTGCTGAATGCGTTCAGTAAATGTGAATGAAGATACTGTGGCCTTACTGCCTAGCGAAGGTGAACAGCTCGGAGAGCCCAGAGTGTCACTGGCGGTAGTGCAGAAAGATCCTGCTCTCTGTGTTTACATGGGGGTTGCGTATGCAGCACTGTGAACCTTTCCTGGACAAACTTTGAGAACTGAGAAGTACACAGGGAATTGCATGTCTAGAAGACACTTAAAGCCAATACTATGATGTTAATAGCAAAGGTGGCTAGCTTAATTTAGTCAAATTGCTTTAAAGAATGGGATGGTCTATTAAAATTTGCATCAACAGGAAGATCATGGCTTATCCAGAAGAGACAACACACCCCAGTTACTTTTTTCTTTGTAGGTAAATCACAGAATCAGGTAATTTAAAGAATACTGCAGAAATTACTTCTTAATAAAAGTATCTAATCATGAAAACTACTTGAAGATGTATCATGCTGTAATTCCTAACATTACATGACTTGAGTAGGCCGAGTGGTGAACAGAACGCCAACAAACAGCACAGAGAGCTGGGAGCGTGTGCCCAGCAGGAGATTTTTGTCCAATTCGGTGCTAAAATATACTGAGTCTTGGAGCAGTGGTAAACAGCACTGCAGTTCCACTCAGATATGAGGAAACTTGGCTTTGTTCACCACATCCTCCTTATTAGACTGAAATTATCTGCGCTTTAGCGTCAGTCCGCAGGGACAGTAAAACATGACGTGGGCCGCGCTGACCGTGGCAGAAGACGGCGACGTGGGTTTGCCCCCCAAAAAGGGCTCCTTTGGGTGAACGCCTGCCGTCGTGCCAGCCGTGCCGATGGCCCCTTTTGACAGGTCACCGAGGAGAACAGAAGCGTAACTCGGCGGGGCCGAGGGCTGGCGGCAGGAAGCGCCGTTCCCACGCGGCGACGAGGAAGAGGAGGAGGAGGAAGGCCGCGGGAAGCCCCGGGCTGCCGGCGGCCCGGCCTCCCCCCGCAGCGGCCTCCCCGGCGTCCCCCCG